GTTGTACGTCGTAGTTGCACATCCTTCTAGTTGCTGTATGTGGGACGCAGCCTCAGCATGGCCCAACAAGCGGTGGTCGGTGCACGCCTGGGATCCGAACCCTGGCCGCCAGCAGCGGAGCGCGCGCACCTAACCGCTAAGCCACGGGGCTGGCCCCAATCCTCCTCTTTTTTGCTAAGGAAGATCAGCCCTGGGCTAACATCCGTGCCCATCTTCCTCTACTTTATGTAGTATGCCACCACAGCATGGCTTGCCAAGCGGTGCTTCGGAACTTGTTTAGCCCAGGCTGCTGAAGCAGAGCGTGCATACTTAACCGCTGTGCCACTGGGTCGGCCCCTGTTGTTCCTATTTTAAATAATATTTTTTAAAATTTCATTTTCTAATTGTTTGTTGCTAGTATATAGAAACACACAATTGATTTGTGTGTGTGTGTGTGTGTGAGGAAGATTAGCCCTGATCTAACATCCGATGCCACTCTTCCTCTTTTTGCTGAGGAAGATTGGCCCTGGGCTAACATCTGTGCCCATCTTCCTCTACTTTATATGGGACGCCACCACAGCATGGCTTGACAAGTGGTATGTTGGTCTGCGCCCAGGATCCGAACCTGTGAACCCTGGCCACCGAAGCGGAGCACTCAAACTTAACTGCTATGCCACAGGGCCAGCCCCACAATTGATTTTTACATATTTACTTTGTGTCCAGGAACCTTGCTAAATTTACTTACTACTTTTAATAGTTTGTAGATTCTTTGGATTTCCTACATATAAAATCCTATAATCTAAAATAATGACAGTTTTAGTTCTTCCTTTCCAAACTTTATATCTTTTATTTCTTTTTCTTGCCTTATTGCACTTGCTAGGACCTCTAGTACAATGTAGAAGTGGTTATATAAAGGAAATCCTTGACTTGTTCCTGATCTCAGAGGGAATGCTTTCAAAATTTAATCCTGAAGATGTTTTTAGATACTCTATTAGATTAATGAAGTTCCCTTCCATGCCTAGTTTGATGAGAGTGTTGATTTTTTATCATTTTTTTCTCCCTTATTGAGATATTATATGGATTTTCCTGTTATTATGCATATGTGCTGAATTTCTTTGATTGATTTTCAAATGTCAAACCACCTTGCATTCCTGGAAGAAGGCCTTTGTCATGAAATATTATCTTTTTATATATTGCTTATTTAACTTGATAATTTGTGATTTTTGCATCTATGTTCACAAGACATATTAAACTGCATTTTCTCTTTCTTGTAATGTCCTTGACAGGTTTTTTTTGTGGTAAAATATACATAACATAAAATTTACCATTTTAACAATTTTTAAGTGTACAGTTCAGTGGCATTAAGTATATTCACAGTGTCATGCAATCATCACCATCATCTATCTCCTCCTGACAGGTTTTTGTATCAAGGTGATGTTGTCCCCCTAAAATAAGTTGGAATTGTGCCCTCTATTTCTGTTTTTGGAATAATTTATGTAAGAATGACATTAGTTTTCCTTTAATGCTTCAAAGAATTCACATGTGAAGTTATCTGTGCTTAAAGAGGAATTTTTGGAAAAGTTTTTTTTTTTTTTTTAAAGATTTTATTTATTTATTTTTTGCCCCCAAAGCCCCAGTAGATAGTTGTATGTCACAGCTGCACACCCTTCTAGTTGCTGTATGTGGGACTCGGCCTCAGGATGGACAGAGAAGTGGTGCCTCGATGCGCACCCGGGATCCGAACCCGGGCTGCCAGCATCGCAGCGCGCGCACTTAACCACCAAGCCACAGGGCCGGCCTGGAAAAGTTTTTAATTACAAATTTAGTTCCTATAATAGGCATAAGACTACTCAGATTTTCTACTTCTTGTTTCAGGTTTGGTAAGTTGCATTTTTCAAGGAGTTTGTACACTTCATCTAAATTCTCTAATTTGTTGGCATAAACTTGTTCTTAAATACTCTTATTATCTTTTTAATGTCTGAAGCATCTCTAGAGATGTCCCGTTTATCATTCCTTATATCGTTAATATTTTCTTCCTTCTTCCCTCTTAGCCTCCCTCCTGCTGTCTCTCTCTGTCTTGCTAGAGGTTTGTTAATTTTACTAGTATTTTCAGAAAATGATTATTTTGGCATTATTGATCTATATGTGTATTTATCTTCTACTTATTGATTTCTGTTCTTTATTATTTCCTTCTTTTTATTTTCTTGGGGTTTAATTTGCTCTTCTTTTTCTAGCTTCTTGAGATTGAAATTTAGATCATTGAATTTTCAACCTTTCTTCTTTTCTAAAATGTGCATTTGGAGGTATAAATTTCCGTCTGGACACTGCTTTAGCTGCATCTCATGAGATTTGATAAGTCATATTTTCAAAATTATTTCTTTAAAAAATTTTTAATTTCCATTATAATTTCTTCTTTGACCTATGAATTATTCAGAAGGATGTTGCTTAATTTCCACATATTTTTGAATCTAGTTATCTTTTTGTTTTGATTCCTAGTTAATTCTAGTGGGTCAGAGATCACATTCTATATGATTTAAGTCATTTAAAATTTGTTGATACTTGTTTTATAGCCCAACATATAATGTATTTTGGTAAACGTTTCATGTGCACTTGAAAAGAATGTGTTTTCTGCAGTTGTTGGGTATAGAGCTCTACATAAATCAATTAGATCAAGTTGATTAATCATGTTATTTTAAATCTTCTAAATCCTTACTGATTTTTTTTGTCTGCTTGTTCTAACACTTATTGAGAGAGTTGTGTTACGCTTTTAACTGTCATTGTGGATTTGTCTATTTCTCCTTTTAATTCTGTAATCTTTTACTTTGCATATTTTGAAACTATGTTGTTGGTGCATGTAAATTTAGGACTGTTTTATCTTCCTGTTGAATCGACTCTTTAATCATTATAAAATGTCCCTCTTTATTTCTAGTAATACTTCTTGTCTTACAGTCTAATTTGTCTGAAATTAATATAGTGACGCCAGCTTTCTTTTGGTTACTGTGTTTATGGTGTATATTTTTTCCGTCCTTTTTTTTTCAATCTTTCTGTCTCCTTATATTTAAAGCATTTCTCTTTTAACAGAATATAGTTGTCTTCTAAAAATCCAATCTGAAAATGTTTGTTTTTTGATTGGAGTGTTTGGTCCATTCATAATTATTCTAATTACTGATATAGTAGGCTATAAACCTGCCATCTTGCTTTTTCTTTTCTCTTTGTGCCATCTGTTTTTTGTCCCTTTATTCTTTCTTTCTTGCCTTCTGTTAGATTAGTCAAGTATTTTACATTACTTTTTCTCCTCTATTATATTTTTACTTACATATTCATTTATTATTCTTTTCATTTCTTTATATTTAAAGGAGAAGCTTAGAGAAGGCGATGCTTACTCTAGAGGACAAGGTCTAACAGTGGATTTTCAGAGAGTGGCACCTACAAAAGTTGGGGATGCACCCATCAGTTTGATAACCCAGTACATTCTCAGAACACATAGCATCCCATACGATAATAATAATAATAACAACAATAATATAATAGCTGACACTTATATTTGCTCTTCCTATATGCCAGGTACTTCTCTAAGCATTTTAAATATATTAGCCAATTTAATCATGAATATGAACAGACAAACATTGAAACAGATACTTTCTGTTCCATACCTTGTGTCTCTCAGCCCCTGTCACCTCTCCAAACTCCACTTGAACCCCACTCCTCACTTCTTGGTTTCTCTGACACCCCCAGGGCAGGCTCTTCCTCTGTCCAACTGCCCCACCCCCCACCCCCGCAACAAACCACAGTCTGGCTCATTGGTGCAGTAGGCCCCCAAGTCCCCTGTCTCCTTCCTGCTGCCTTAGTATCTCTGCTCTGACCTGCACCACTTGGTAACTGCTTGCGGGAGGTGGTACTTCAAAGATGGACCACAGCTACTCCATCCCTATCCTCAGCCACAGCCCGCTATGCACATGCCTCCAACCTCCAGAAGTGTGCACCTCTGTGTGCCCAGCCCCTAACCATCTTTGGCACAAGGATGCTCAATAACTATCTGTTGAATGAAATCAAAAGGAAAGAATGAAGAATGAATGGTCTCACGATTATATGAACACAGATACATAAGTGAAGCCATTAGTGATGAGCATGATTCTCCCCACCTTGGCAAAGGTGAAGTGAATCCCTAACATCCTTCTCCCCTCTTCTCCATCAAGCCAGCATGAATCGGTCCTGGGGAGGGGAGGAGTGTCAGTGACGGGTCCCTTTCCACCTGTCAGGGCAAAAAAGGTAAACCCTACCTCCTTTGGCATCCTCACCAGTCCCCAGGCAGGTGACACAGAGGAGTGCCACCCCCTCGCTCAGGTCTCTCCTCTCTCTAGCTCACGTGTGCGCGCGAACACACACCCTACTCCTTGATTGGGCATCACCGGGTATCATGCAGTGAGGGGGAGGTTGGGAGAGGGTTTGCATCCTTTCTTTACCTTGCCCTCCTTCCCAGCATCTTGATGCTCCTCCATCACTCTCTTTCTCGGCTGCAGCCCACAAGGATTCCGCGGCTGGTCACTGCCCGCGCGCTCCCGCAGCTTCGTCCCCCGTAACTCGTCCGGATGAACGGACCGAGTGGGGATCCTATCAGCTGACGGAGACACTCTCCCCTCCCTGCCAGGGAGTCACCTGGAGTCGGGCGTGGTTCCCACCCGGCTCCCCGGCAGCTGAGCCTTTTGATTGGGTACCAGGTTTACCGTGCGCGACGCCATTGGCTGAAACGCCTGTCATTCCTGTGTCCAGGCTCCAGCTTTTAAGGGGCAGCGCGGAACCGAGAGGGCCAGGAACAGGCGACAGCATAGGGCTGGGGTCGGGGGTTCTGGGGTCGCAGAGGTCTAGTGCCACGTCAGGCCCCGCCCCCAAGCTGGCTGACTCCCGCCCACCGCCGCTCTGGGCCGCGCCTTCCAACGGCCTCGCGAGGTCTGCGCGTGCGCACTAGCCCAGTCTGGCGCCCTCCAGGCGGTGGGCGGGCCGGCGGGCCAGTGGGCGGGGGGCGGGGGAGGGGGGAACCGGGGTGGGTGTGATGGACTGGGGACGAGGGCAGGGGGTAATATCTGTGGAGAAAGGGGTTCCGTTTGGATTTCCGCTCTGCGGCATGAGGGAGCGGCGGGGTAAGCGGCACAGGGCGGCGAGGGGACGCGACAAGGCCCGCGGCCAGGGCGCCCAAGGCCAGGCCGGGGTCCGCGGGCGGTCGCAACTGGAGCCGGGAAGCAGAGGGGTGCAGAGGCTGCGAGAAAAACTGTGGATGCCCTGGAACGGGCTCATCGTGATCGGGAAGAGAATGGAACTCCTGGGTAGAAACACGCAAAAGCCTAGGATGTGGGACCCGAAGCTTGGGTCTGAGTCCTGGAGACTGGAAGATGTGGAAAAGACAGTCTCGAAAGGGAAATCAGGCCGGAGTCAGGAAAGGATGGATGTGAATCTACTGCACAGTGTAGCAAGTGCATTACAGGCTTCAGCAGGTTTGGGGAAAGGCAGCCCAAAGGAGATACGGGGAAAGCAAGAAGTCAGACGCAAAATAGGAGCTGAATCAGAGACTGCAGGGACTACAGCAGGGTCTAGGAAGGGGTCTGGGTTTAAAGAGAGCTTGAGGTTTACTGGGGTAGGGACCGGTGGAGAGGACTTGAGATCCAGAGGATATAAACTAAGGCAGAATGAGGAGGAGCGGAGGTCGAGTGGAGAGAAACTGAGGTCGAGTGGAGAGAAACTGAGGTCGAGTGGGGAGAAGCTGAGGTCGAGTGGGGAGAAGCTGAGGTCGAGTGGGGAGAAGCTGAGGTCGAGTGGAGAGAAGCTGAGGTCCAGTGGAGAGAAGTTGGGGACTAGTGGAGAGGATTTGAGATCCACTGGAGATAAACTGCAGTCAAGTGCAGAGAAGCTGGGATCCAGCAGGGAGAAGCTGGGGACCAGTGGAGAGAGCTTGGAGGGTTCAAGAACAGGGAGCATAAATGAAGAGAAAATTGAAAGAGTGGTAGAAGTTAGTGGTGATGAAAGATTGATAGAAGTTACTGATGCTGTGATGGAAATTCCTTTTGAAGGGGTGGAGGGGAATGATGAAGAACTAGAAGGGGCTGAGAAAGCGGTGGAAGATGTCTTGGGGGGGGTGAATGACATTATTGACGAATCTGTTTCTATGGAAGAGAAAGAGGTTATAGATGAAGAACCCGGTGAATGAGGCAGATGAAGGATTGAAGCTAACGAAGGAAAGAGAAGCAGATAGAGGAAGTATTGCAAGTTTAAGAGGAAAAATTAGAGCCAAGCAGAACATTATTGACCGTCAGGGGGTAAACACAAGAGAGGAAAGGAGAGCATCTGAGCCTAAGAGAAGAGAGAGTGTTAATAAAGAGCTACTGGGGATGGAAGGGGAGACCAGGACCAAAGGAAGTGAAGAAAAGCGATAAAGAGGGAAATGAGAACATTTTGAGGAGAAAGAAAAAATTTGATAAGGTGTTGATAGGTAGAAGAAAATTGGATATTGGTTTCTTGGAGAAGAGCTATTACCAAGGAGCTTGTAGGGGAATGTTTGAGAAATGGATCTGGGATGGGCTAGAAGGATTTAGTTGAACACATGCTTGGGTTTATGAGATGTAGGAGAATGCAGAGTGAGGAAAATGGAAAATTACAGCAGGATAAAGGATAGATAATGAAGGTTATGGAAGAAGATGCAGGCTGAAGCGAGGATCCTGAAGAAGAATGAGGGTCTCCAAAGTGACAAAAGCAAGAGAAGAGATAAGAAAGAAGTGAAGAAAAAAAGTAAGAAGCCAAATCCCATAATAGTGGTTGTGTTTGTTGGGTTTTAAAGTTATTTCTTTCACTATATCTCTACCCTCCTCTCCTGTGTAGCCAATTTTACAATCTAACGGGACAGACCTCTCACAGGACCCTGTATATCTGGACCAAGCCCATCCTCATGATCTTCCCTCTGACTAGCCCCAAAATTCTATCCAGAATAGTTGCTGGGCTCCACTATTTTAATCACTTGGCCATGGTCACCATTTCCATAGGTTCCCCTCACCTCCACATCAAATTTGAATTGCTCATGCTTGATTTGAAGTCGTCTCAATTATTTGTATTATTATTGTTTCCATCTTTGACTTTTAATTATTCATCTAATCACATAGACTTTTTCCCTTGTGTCTGTCTCCTTTGGGGCTTTGTTTTATGTCTTCCACATGCCATCCACCATCCACTGTCATCCCAGGGAAGAGAGGACTCCCTGAGTGCCTACTGTCAAGACATCAATGTCAAGACTGAGGCTCTTAGCTCCTGTTTGTCTCTTGGATAGGGATGTAAGAGGTGGCGAAAAGCATCATGGATAGTTAGGATGAGAGGAATACTTTTTAAAGTCTGTAAAATATCTAAGGAGTCGAAACTTCATCATATCATAACACAAGTATCATAACAAATTTGTAATAGCCTCATTTTTTTAAGTTGATGTCACAATACTTTATAACATTGTGAGATTCCAGTTGTACACTATTATTTGTCAGTCACCATATAAATGTGCCCCTTCACCCCTTGTGCCCACCCCCCAACTCCCTTCCCCCTGGTAACTGCCAAACTATTCTCTCTGTCCGTGTGTTAGTTTATATTCCACATATGAGTGAAGTCATACAGTGTTTGTCTTTGTCTGGCTTATTTCACTTAACATAATACCCTTCAGGTCCTTCCGTGTTGTTGCAAATGGCAGGATTTTTTTTTTTATGGCTAATATTCCATTATATATATATACCACATCTTCTTTATCCAGTCATCTGTTGATGGACACTTGGGTTGCTTCCACTTCTTGGCTGTAGTGAATAATGCTGCAATGAACATAGGAGTGCAGAAGCCTCTTTGGATTGTTGATTTCAAGTTCTTTGGATAAATACCCAGAAGCGGGATAGCTGGATCATAAGGTCTTTCTATTTTTAATTTTTTGAGGAATCTCTATACTTGTTTTCCATAGAGGTTGCACCAGTTGCATTCCCACCAGCATTGAATGAGGGTTCCATTTTCTCCACATCCTCTCCAACATTTGTTATTGTTTGTCTTGGTGATTATAGCCATTCTCATGGGAGTAAGGTGATAGCTTAGTGTAGTTTAGCCTCATGTCTTTTAATTGTTTAGTTTTCTACATATGCGTTGATAATTTTCCACGAAGGTTCCAAAAGATCTGTAAACCCTGTGCCATGTTTCTGTTCATATGTCAAACCTAACAGATAATATATCAATTCCATTTTTTCCCTAGAAATTTCCTTCTTGGAGTCCCTTTGTCCTCTGGGTGTGATGTAGAGTGGCTGTGTTCTAGGCTGGCTCCATAGCTGCTTTCCTGGGCTTCTTAACATTTCCCTCTGTTCTTCTGTGTTGGATCTCCTACTGCCTGGATCTTAGATTCTCTTCCTCTTTCTTGTTTTGCATCCTCATTTTGATCAACCACATCATCTAATATCTTCCAGATAAAGTGACCATACGAGGACATTTGTGACACCTTATCTGTCTGAAAATATTGATTCTGCTCTCATGTTTGATTGATAGTTTAGCTGGGTATGGGATTCTAGGTTGGAAATATTTTTCCCTCAGAATTTTATAGGCATTGACCCACTGTCTTCTTTTTTTTTTTTTTTGTGAGGAAGATCAGCCCTGAGCTAACATCCAGGGCAATCCTCCTCTTTTTTTGCTGAGGAAGACTGGCCCTGGGCTAACGTCTGTGCCCATCTTCCTCCATTTTTTATGGGATGCCGCCACAGCATGGCTTGACAAGCGGTGCCTCAGTGCGCTCCCAGGATCCGAACCCGGGCCGCCAGCAGCGGAGTGCGTGCACTTAACCACTACCCCAAGGGGCCAGCCCCCTGATCCCCTGTCTTCTAACTTCCAAGTGTTGCTGTTTATAAGTGCAGTTTTGTTCTTTTTTCTTTATTATTATTCTATGGATATGACCTGTTTTTCTTCCCTATGTAAGTTACCTGTTTCCTGCCACTCCATGGCTCTATCTGCATTCTCATCCTATTTTCTGTGGTTCCACATAAGGATTTTGGAGCCTGAATTATAGCTCCTGTCTGTTTGTCTGCTTTTGTCCCTCTTTTTTTGTTCTACTCTCTGGACAGTTTCACTAACTTTACCTTCTTATCCTTTCTATTGTATTTTTTGTTTTAACTCTCTTGTTCACTGATTGCTTCTTTTTTTGGTATATGGCGTTTCTGTTTTCGTTTCATGTACATATTCTCTTAGCTCTCCAAGGAATTTTCCTGTTTTTAAGTTTTCTTCTGCTTTTCACATTGTTTTCTCTGAATTCCCTTCCCCCTTTTCTGTTGTGTGTGTATACGTGTTGTTGGAGGTTTTCCTCAAGTATTTGAGGAAACACTTTGACTGTCTATTCATATCTAGGAATAAGGCGCTAAGCAGAACTAATTGGAAACTCTGTGTGCACAGATGGGATTTGTTAAATGCTGGGCTTCATTTTCAGGTGACTGGAACAAGCAGATTTTTTTATTGGGTACCCTCAAATGGCAGAATCTGTAGAGCACGTTGCAGGGACTATTGAGTTTCTCCAGAGAAGGATTCTCCAGTCTCCTGTCTGGGGAACATTTGTATGGCCACCACCATTGAGGTTCCAGCAGCAGGGCAGCGGGGGTAGTGACGTGGCTCCAGCATTAGCATGCGTGTTTGCACCCAGTCCTTTGGTCTTCAGCTCAGTGCTCATCACTACCTTCATCTGTGCCTGGTGTCCCTGAGTTGGGGACACCCTGACTTTCAATTTTTTGCAGATTCAATTTCTCCAGAGAATAAACCCTCTGGTGTCCTGCAGGGGGTTGTTGCCAGTCCCAAAAGGGTTGGAGAGAGGATTCGTGAGTTTAACTGCTTTATATACAGACTTCTAAGTAATTTCCCTGTTTTGGCTCCATGTCTTTCTCCTTCTGCCTGAGGTATCTGGTTTCTCCAGGGCCTGAACTTTTGGGGCATGAGTAGAGTGAACTGTTACTCTTCTTGTTTATATTCTCCTCTTTGAGCATTTAAGTCCCAGCTTCCTGCACTCTGCTATCCCACTCCATCTCCAGAAGTTTGTTGACCTCTCTGATCCACTGTTGTCTGGTCTCCTGTCCTCTTTGTCTTTATGGTTTTATGCCATATTTTTGTGTATGTGTGAGGAAAATCAGCCCTGAGCTAACATCTGATGCCAATCCTCCTCTTTTTGCTGAGGAAGATTGGCCCTAGGCTAACATCCGTGTCTTCCTCTACTTTTTATGGGACACCACCACAGCATGGCTTGACAGGCAGTGCGTCATTGTGCACCTGGGATCTGAACCCGTGAACCCCAGGCCACGGAAGTGGAGTGCGTGCATTTAACCGCTACGCACCAGGCAGGCCCTATGCCATATTTATTCCCTTATTTTCATCTTCGTGGGGTTTGGAGATAAATATGTGTTCAATCTGCCATATTTGACAAAAAGTCTCCTCCATTACATTTTGATTATTTTTAATTGTATTCTCAAAGAGTAACCCTAATTTTCATCTTGCAGTTGGCTTGCTATTTTCTCTATGAATTTTGCTGTGTGAAAGTGGCTAACACAATGAACAAGTAAACAGTACTACTGTCCTACTACAATGTACAACAAATTGTACTAAATCAGTTATTATAAACATGCTGTAATTTCTCTCACCTTAAGAAAAACAAAACCTCTCTTGACCCCACATTCCCCTCTAGCTACTGCTCCATTTTTCTTGCTCCCTGTGGGAGGCACAAAAGCAGCCCCCCAAAGATATATTCACTTCCTAATTCCAGGAACCTGTGAATATTACCTTATATGGCAAAAGATGTAATTAAGTTAAAGGTCTGGAGAGGAGGCGCTTATTCTGGATAATCTGGGTGAGGCCTAAATGCTATCACAAGTGTCCTTGTAAGAGAGAGAAGGAGATCAGACACACACAGAAGAGGAGCAGGCACTGTGGCCCTAAGGCAGAGACTGGAGTGATGCAGCCACAAGTGAAGGAATGCTGACTTGGAAGGGCAGAGAACGAATTCTTTCCTAGAGCCTCTGTAGGGAGTGTGGCCTCTGCTGATACCTTGATTTTGGACCTCTGGCCTCCAGAACTGCTATAGAATAAATTTCTGTTCTTTTAAGTCACCCAGTTTGTGGTAATTTGTTACAGCAGCTCTAGGAAACGAATACACTCCCTTTACAGCAGAGTTCCTCCAAAAAGTTGTCTATGCTTACTTTTTCTAAATCTTCTCCTCCATTCCTTTTTCTCCAACTTTTTATATTGGACATTTTAATATATATAGAAAAGTTGAAAGATTAGAGCAATGAGCAACTAAATATTCTCTACCTAGATTCAACAGTTGATAACAGTTTGCCCTAGTTGCTTTATCTCTATATACTTCAACATATATTGCCTAAGAATAAAGACATTTTCGTACTTATCCAGAATACCTAAATAAATTAAATTTTTAAAAATTTAATAAGTTAAAAATTAATAATAATTTCCTAATATCATCTAATATTCAGTCCAAATTCAAATATCCTTCCTTGTCCCCAAAATATCTTTTATAACTTTTTTTCCTTGGCCCAGGATCCAATGAGGGCTTGTATATTGAATGTGATTGTTAACTCTTTTTCTTTTTTTTTGTGAGGAGGATTGGCCCTGAGCTAACATCTGCCAATCCTCCTCTTTTTGCTGAGGAAGACTGGCCCTGGGCTCACATCCATGCCCATCTTCCTCCACTTTATATGGGACGCCACCATAGCATGGCTTCACACGCGGTGCGTGGGTGCGCGCCCAGGATCTGAACCAGTGAACCCTGGGCCACCGCAGTGGAGCGCACGCACCTAACCGCTTGTGCCACCAGGCCGGCCCCTGTTAACTCTTTTTAATCTACATTAATCTCCCTCTTATTTTTTTTTAACAACTTTGACTTTTTAAAGAATTCAGGCCTGTTTTCGTATAGATGTCCAACATTCTGGATTTATCTGATTCTGTCAGATGGTGTCATTTAGTCTATTCTATCCCTGTAGTTCCTGTATTCTGGAAGTGTGGGCTATAGCTCTGGTTTCTTTCTCCGTAGCCCTCATCACCTCTGACTCAGAGGTTTCCTTCTGTAGTTGTTTATTATCTCTCTCTCCCCACTAGAATGTAAGCTCCATAACAGAATCAGTGAGTGTCTGTTGGGTTACCTGTTCTAGTCTGCTGTCTAACCAACACATAGTGGGCACTCAGTGTGTATTTGTGGCAGGAATCAATCTGTCACATTCAGTGACTTTACCTGTCTCAATACTATTTAACATCTATTGAGAAATTGCTGTAATAGTTTACCCTGTTCCTTAGAACATCTCACATTTTTTGAAACCTCAAATGCCTGCAAATGTCTTTATTCCATACTTGAGGTTTGTCTAGAGATAGAATGTTCCCTCAGCAGTGTGAAGGCCTGCCCCCTTGTTTTCTCCCTTCAAGCGTGGCCATGGAGAGCCTAGATCTATTTTTATGCTTAAGCCAGGGCACATGCCCAGGTGTTCTGTGTATGTGGCCTGTTTCTTCTCCTCATCTCTGCGATTTCTACTTATCTATTTTTCAGAAGTTTGTAGCGTGTGCTTTCTTCCATTCTCTAGGAACTCTGATCCCATAGTTAGACAACAAAGTAGAGATATTGGGTGTGGGCAGAGTCGTAAAGATAAGCTACAGAAGGCTCAAGCCTAGTAGTAGGATCTTTTTGACAAATGTTGATAGCTAACATTTACTGAATTCTTGTAATAATAGAATAATTTCATAGGCACAATGCTAAGCCCTTTACATGTTCTCTGTCATTTAAGCCTTCCAACAACTCTTTGAGATAGGAACTATTATTCTATCAACTCTACCAGCTAGAAACTGCCAGGGCCAGACCTGAGCCCAGGCAGCCTGGCCCCAGAGCTGCACTGGAAACCACTCTGCTGAATTGCCTCCTCCATTCTTACTAGACAGGCCCTGCCACTTGGTTTCCTAGCCTGCCAAAGCAAGGTCTGCGGTCCTGCCTGGGGGGCAGGGAATGAGGCTGTGTACAACCCTTCCATTCATTCAGTGAATGCTTGTTGAATGGGCGCTTCAGTGGCAAGTTTTTAAGAACATAAATGCCAAAAACAATGATGTTTATTTTCCTTCCCAGATCTCTGCCTTCCCAAGATCATCCATTCCTTGTCTCCTCTGATGATTCTTTGAGCGCTGAGAAATTGTTGCCTCTCTCATAAGAGGCCTGCACGGACACAAAGTCAAGACGGGGAGTTTTCAGTTGTGTGGGTCTCTCAGATTGCACTGCACGGTATATAAATTATGACCCAAATAATCAGACTTGTTCTTTGGCTGGATCACATTTTCTCCCAGCATATCAGACGCATTCCACTGAGGCAACAGAAAGGAAAAGTGAAGATCAAGACACCGTGACAGATGGCAGCCACCTTGTAAGTGCAGATATTGTCAATCCTCTAGGAGGCTAGAACTTTATATATAATATCATTTTTTACTAAAATTAACAAAATGCACACATTTCAGGGAATTAAGGGCTCCTGAGTGATTTTATATATATTTTTTATTCTCCTATTCTGTCTTTGCATTTTCCCAAAGATCCCTGTTTCTTGCAGCAGAATGTGTTAAAAGTGACATTTTTTTTTTGGCTTTTGTTGAAATACCGTCCTGGTCTGTCCCATTACTTCATTCAGCAAACACTGAACACTCACTGCATGCCAACTGGGAATGCAAAAAATGTGTCGGACCAGATTCTTGCCCTTGGCCTCCTATCTCGTGTTGAGACAGATGTCTCAACAAGTAGATCACCAGGCCTTGTGAGATGGACTAGAAGGGAGCTAGGTACTAAGTGTGATGGGAACCACAGAGGAGGGAGGGCCCGACCATGGGGGCCGGTTAGGGCAATGATCAGAGAAGGCTTCATGGTGGAGATGGCCTTTTTGGACTGGACTTAGAAGGGTGAGAAGGGGTCAACACTGGGTGAGAAGAGGACAAATAAACATTCTAAACAACAAGAATAGTGTTGCCAAGGTACGATGACTGGGAACCGCATGGCTGGTTCAGGAAAAGGCAAGAACAGTAGTTAGCTGTGGCTGGATCAGAGAGAGTACTATGGAGACCAGTAGGATGTGAGCTTCGGGAGAGCCTGGGGCCAGCCTTGAAAGCAGGCTTAAGGAAGTTAGCCTTTGCTTTATAGGTGACAGGGAGAATGACACCATCAGATCTTTGCTTTATGTAATTCACTAAGCCTCGAGATTGAATCAACTAGGCACAGGGTGAGAGTGGGTCACTGTGGGGCACTGAGTAGGTGCTCAATAAAGCAGGAGGTACGATTATTAGATTGTTATAATGAATAGTTCAGGGTAGAGAGGACGAGGCTATGAACTAAGGCAGAGAAAATAGGGATGAAAACAAAAGGATAGATTGGAGAGGGTTTTAGAAGTCCTGTTTAACAGAATGGGGATTGAGAAAAACTACATACCCACCTATGCTTGAGTGCCCTCGGGAGGCGGCTTACGTACTGGTAGTGCAGGACAGAGGTGAATGGTCGTAGTTCCTGAAACCAGCACCAATTAAAATGAAATATCAATCGTACCATGGGAAATGGTGAAAGTAACAGCAGCTATGTGAATCATGCTGTGATTTCTTTCTGTTTAACTTGTTTTGTAATTAATAATTTGCTCGAATTTTGCACTGTGTACTTTAGACGTATTATAAGGAAGCTTTTGAGGAAAATACGTGTGTTTGTGTGTATGTGTGTGTGTGTGGGCGGGTGGACCATAGCTTACATAGCTTGGAATTCTCTGCAGAAATTCGGTTTCAGAACATTTTTTTAAAGTTTTATGATTTATTTAAGGTTGAAAACATGTTTCAGTACCATTAAGATGTAACAATCCCCCTGGCAGCGGTCAGCTTGGACAAATGACGGATTTTATGCTTGTGTGAGTTTGTTTGCAATTTATAAACTGTCAAGAGACACAGGCTCAAACAGGTGCAAGAAATAGAGCTGACACCAGAGCTTCAGGAGTTTGCCTTCTAATCTGTGTTCTTTGTGCAACACCGGACGATTTTCCATCATGCCCGGCTGCCTGATTCAGGAACTGGAGGAAGGTGCTGCTGCTGCTGGGAGCTCATTTCTCAGAGGCCGCTGGGCACTATTCTTGGATGGCCACTGGGTTTCAGAGGTTCGCCATCCATCTTGCAAGGGTCATTTGTCCTGTCAGAGCACACTGACCCCACTCTCAAGAGGCCAGCCCTGCAAGCTGTCCCCTGGGAGCTAGAATTAATTGTACAAATTTCGCACTGCAGATCAATTTCATCTCCGGAGCCATTTCTACACAGATTACACGGGGCTTGCGAGGCCACACCCTGCTGCTCCTTGGACTCTGACCCTTGCCCGGCACATTCTCCTTCCTCCTTCTTTCCTTCCCAGAGACTCCCTGCCCCCAATGTGCACACCTAGGGTGGGACCTTTCTGTATGTTGCAGCCAGTTCTTCCGTTCTTGTCTGTATCGCTCAGAATCCATTGTTTCTTATTGTATCATCTAGACAAATGCCTAGTACTAGGTGATTAGCACCAGAGAGACAACAGACAGGTGCCCTGCCCCTGGGGACAAGGGGAGTAGGCAGGGACTCATTTGTGAGCAAGGTAGCACCCTGTCACAGTGCTCTGACAGCGGCTATTTTATCTCAGTCGCATTATGGTTTCATTTTTGTGGTGGAGCCTTAAAAAGCCTAGGTTCCCCAAAAGATTCCGCCAAGTTCATGGTAAAATTCTACTACGTATTCATTTGTTTAACAGATATGTTTTAAGCCCCGGTTATTTGCCAGGCGCCACTCCAGATGTCAGGATTATAGCAGAGAACTGTTCTCTTGGAGCTTATGCGATCGTGGAAGGAGATAGAAAATTTGTGTCAATATGTAATATGAGCTAAGAATATTGAAGAAAAACCAAGCTGGGTAAGGGAGAGAGAGTGATGGCGGGGGTAGGCCGCTCTTTTAGACAGCTTGCTTGGGGGAGGCCTCTCTGATGAGGCGACTCTTGAAGCAGAGCCCAGAAGAAGGGGAGGGAGAAGCAGCTGTTTGGAGGAAGTCCTCTCCAGACAGGGTGCAGCAAGGCCGGAGCCTCTGAGTGGCCAGTGCACCTGGCCTCTTTGGGGAATAGGAGTCACTAACTGAACATCTGCATTCCTCAGTTTCCCCTCTGCAAGTCCCTGGGCTTGTTGGGAGGAGTAAATGAAATCGTTTCTGTGGAAATATTTATGTAAACCATCAAGCACTGTATAAAGGTCACTCTCTATGTTGACTTCGTCAAGTATTTGTGGAGTGTCTAAATCATCATGGATCATAATTATTATATTATAATTCTGCCCTTTCATTTCTTTATTATTGAGGTGAAAACTACATAACATACAATTAACCATTTTAAAGTGTACAATTCAGTGCATTCACACTACCACTCTAGTTTCTAAACTTTTTCATCACTCTGTCCTTTCATTTTTAATATTAGTTTATGTTACTACTCTTGAAAAAGGATTTTTCCCGCATATCTGACTTTGCCCTTTCTGTTTCTGGCTGGCCTTCACTAATTTCTATGATTCATCCATGTGCTTATTCAACAGATATTTATCGAGTGTCTACTGTGCAGTAGACACTATGCTAGATAGGTACTGGAGATACAATGGTGACAAAGGACACACAGGTCCCTACATTTAGGGGACTCAGAATCTAGTGGGGGATTTAGACACCTAACATATAATTACCAGAAAATTAATTTAAATTATGATAAATGCTTATAAGAAAAAAATGCTTCAAAAATTATCTTTAAAACATTTGTGAAGTTATTAAAGCCACTAGAAGTGAGACGCCACTAGCTATTAAAGCTTAGAATAATATGACTATATCGTTTTTATAATTGTGCTCTTAGTTCAGAGACGCTGGAGAGAAAGATCCCCTCAGGGAACTGACCTGGATTATGTTGGGGCAGAGTAGGAGGCAGGCAAAGGTAAAAACTGGTACTTCATTCATTTCCTCCTGATAACAACCCTTTGAGGGATGCATTGCTCCTATTTTATAGATGTGGAAACTGAGACTTAGAAGGTCGTGCCTTGCCTAATGCCACCTGGCGGCATTTGTATCTAGTATTTCGCTTTAGCCATCTGGTAAAGCTGAAAAGCATTTTGTCCAATAGGGGGCAGTGACGCACCTGGTGGAAGAAGTCATTGCAGACACGCGCAGGGTTGGTCTATATGCACCCAGCCCACATGGTGTGCTCCCAGCGTTCCAGGAGAGGGCGCTGCTGCGCTGGCCTCGGAGTCGCCTAATCCAACAGACCTCCCGGGTCCTGCCCTCCTGCCCTGTCCCCGCCCCCTACCTCCTTGGTTAACCCAGCAAGCTCTCAGCTCCCTCTGGCTTTTCTTGCACACTAATGTGTGCATCTGTGTTTTCCTAGATGATTGTTAATCACACCATGGAATAACAAATCAGAACTAGTAACCAAATCACCTCGAGTGATGAGGCAGTGATCATCAAAACAGGCACCGCCCCGGGCGGGGAGCCACAAAAACTGCTAGCGTGGACCTCGCGGCCCGTGGTGCGGCGGTGCCACCACAGCACGTCGCTCATGTAGGCGCAATCTTCGGGTTTCTTTAGGCAGGATGACCTGGCAGCATTTCCACCCCACCCACAGCTGGTTTCGCTTTCCTAATGTTGTTAAAAAGTGCCTTCTAACTGAAGCACGGTGGTTGAACAGGTTCCAACATTTTACTTAATTTTTTTATATGATTGTTTGTTTACGATTTCTTCCTTCTAGTGGGTCTCTTTCCTTTTCTCTCAGGAAGATGCCCAGAACTGTCCTCTTTGGCATTTGCCCAAAGTCCAGGTTCTAATAGCTTTTAGACTGTGGTTTAATTTTTACCATAGAACCTTCTTTTGGAACAATTACTTTTTAATCTGAAAAGGGCCAGTTAGAGACAGGGCAATAACACCTCCCACCTGGAATCAGGAGGCGAAGCTATGTTCATCTACTGCTGACATATAGCTTTTTAAAAGGGGAGACTGATTTGGTGGGGAAAAATGAGAAATGAAAATTGTGGATAGGTCGGTGTGGAAGACTCTTTGAACATCTGCTTTAATCAATGTAATAAACTCCGGGTGTCCAAGGAGAGCGGGCTGGGGGAGAGAATTGAGGGAGGAATCGATCAAGAGGCCCCTGAGTTCAACCCACTAAACTGAACATAGCAGACAATGGCTTCTTCTTAGAGCTGTCCTGTGGGCAGCCATGTGGCATCCGTTTTCTGGGACAATCTCAGTTTCTGAGACAGAAGACACACTGGCCCTTTGCCAGGCCACACATCAGACTGCCACCAATTCTCAGTTCTGAAAATCTGGCCACCGGCGGGGCCTGTCAGCAGCAACGGGCGTTATCTCCTTA